TTTCAAATTCTTCTTTAAAAATGACCTATAATCTCTTGCATCTAAACATGGCTTTCCACTTAGAATTTGCTCTTGACCCAAAAATATGGAATTAAGTAGATCTCTTGAATGACATTTTTCAATTTGAACCACTCAAAATCTCCAAAAATTGAGCAAGTTATGACTTGTTGAAGTTGGCCAAAAATCATGAAATGACCTATAATCTTTTGCATTCTTAAGGCAACTTCCATCCATTTTCTTACTTTTCACATAAAAGAAGGCATGAAGTAAACATCCTTAAGATCATCATGGAAAAAGAATGGGCTCAAGGTGATAAAAATTGACCAAGTTATGACAATTTTAAGTCATATATGGAAAATTAAGGATTCAATTGGATGACTTGTGATCTTTCTTCTTCACCAAGTTCCTTCCACATGAAAACTCTTTGGAACTTTTGAAGTGATTTGTTGGTAACTCCTTGAAGAGAAGAATGTTTTTGGAATCACTCAAAAATGACAAAATATGAGCAAGATATGCCTCTTTGAAGTCCAAAACCCTAGCCTTTAGATCAAGAGAATGCTTGGTGGAACTTTGCCAAGTTTGAACAAACTTTTTGTGCCAATATTCTTCCTTTGTGAATAGAAATTGTTGAGGGTAATGATGAGGACCTATGGCCACCAAAACCAATTTCATATCAACTTCAAAACAACTTCAATGGTGAGGTTTGAATCTCTCAAGCTTTTGACTAGGACATGGAAATAAACTCATGAACCCATGAAGCAACTTGATAAACCTCATTGCTTTTACCTACATTATCAACAAGTAAGACAAACCAATATTGCATTTTATTAATTAGAGAGAAAAATCAAAGTACAATATCTATGATCACAAAAGCAAACAAATCAAGGTGCTTGGTAACTTCTCAAAGAGCAAAGCTAAAGATAGGGAGAAGAACCAAAATCCCTAATGTGATTTGTGGTGATTGAAACAATGTGGTATGATGAAGGGATCTTAGGCTCAAAAATTGGGGTACAACAATAACCTATTTCCATGCTTTTGATAATAGACAACCTCTCCAAGAGTTAATTCTCTTCCAAAGACGACCCTTGATGAAGGCAAATGTCTCTTTCCAACTCCTACCAACCATGGACGACAAACCCAAATAAGTTCCCATGCCTAACACATGTCGAACACCCATAATTCTAGAAATATATTCTTGAGTTGGGCGACTGATATTACAATTGAAGAACACCTTAGATTTAGTTATGTTAATTTACTATCCCGAAGCTTTTTCATAAGTTCAGAGGATTTCCATAAGTTACTTTACTTTTGCGATATTGGCCCTGCAAAAAAGAAAACAATCGTCATAAAAAAGTAGATGGGACGCCACTAGTTCCCCTATACATATCTTTACTCCACAGAGATCTCCTCTGGATATTTCTCTTTTCATGAGTGTGGATAATCCCTCTATTATATTAATAAAAAGATAGGGTGACAATCAGGCCTTTTCCAGGTTGAATTGGCCTTACTCTATGAGAATTAACCAGAACCGGGTAGTGCACCAAGGTTAACACATCATTAACCAATGCGTCCATCTATCCGTAAAACCCAATCTACAAAGCATACCTCACAAAAAAAAAAAAACAAATCCACCTTGTCGTACACTTTACTAATGTCAATCTTTAGAGCAAACTCCCATTGTCTTCCGCTTCAAAGTATGAATTATCTCAATGACAATAGGGGCATTATCAAATATAGATCTTCTTTCCATAAACATTGAATGTTCCTCTACTACACACTTAGATAAGTAACACTTGAGCCTTTTCACAAGCAACTTGGAGACTATCTTGTACATCATATTACACAGCGATATCAGATGTAACTCCTTCATATTACTCGGCTTTACACATATGGAAATAAGGCAAATGTTTGTATCACTAATAGATGGCGAAAAAACCTCTTTCTAACCACAACTTTGTTGATGCCATCAAGTTATCACCACATACATCCCAACAATTATGGTAAAAATCCAGATTAAATTCGTCTGACCCGGGTGACTTATTTGGATGCATATGTTTCAGAGCTTCATATAATTATTCTTTTGTAATTTGTGCCAACAACTTCTCATTATCTTCCACATTCACTTGCGGCTGAATATGCGACATAACCAGATCATATGCTCCCTCTTTGACTTCAAACAACTTGTTGAAATAACACTTAGCAACATCATAGAGCCTTGTTTAATCTTTAAAAACTTTATTATATTTGTTGAACAACATATAAATACTCTTGAACTTGCTTCTTGCTGTCACCGAAAAATGAAAGAACTTTGTGTTCAAGTCTTCCTCCCTAAGCCAATGCATCTTTGCACATTGTCTCCAAAAGCTTTTCTCATAAATAAGAGACTTAGTATATTTTCTCCGTGCCTCTAAGAACCTTGTCCCATCCACCTGTTAGTGTCAGTTTCAGTATCTCTCAATTTCCTTCATACTTTCTTTCACTTCCTCTATAAACTGTGCTCGTCTTCACAGGTTCCAGCTACTGAGTTCCTCTACACAACTTGCAATATAATCCGTAATATTAACCTTTCTATTTGGATTCCACCCTACAATCATAACTTTTGTAATATCTTCTTATTTCAACCAACAATTTTTGAATTTAAAAGAATATTTATAACCATTACGCTGCTCTGGATCGCACTGAAGCAATATTGGATTGTGATCTGAGTGTGATGCCAACAAGTTATGTAGTCACGCATTATTAAAGATATTCAACCATCATGTGTTGAGCATAGCTCTATCCAATCTTTCCTCAATAGCATATTGAGTTCATCTACTTCTAATCCAAGTATAAGGGTGACCTTCAAGATTAATGTCCGACAAATCTCAATCACCCACTGCAGTCTTGAATCCTTCACACAACCAGCTAGAATGAGGGAGAATTCTGTTCTTGTCTTTTTGAGTAAGGAGATCATTAAAATCATATATGATGCACTAAGCTAAGTTGGACATATCACGAAGTTCCTGCAATAAATCCTGTGCAAGCCTTCTTCTACCTCTTTCCGGATAACCATAGTAACAAGTTAACCTCCATTATTCTCTCTCATCATCCTCAATCGACATGTTGACATAATTCGCGAGTAATTCATCACCAACACTTTATAATATTCCTTCTTAACACTACTAACCCACCACTCCTACCCTCCACATCAACTGCAAGACACATATCAAATTTCAACATCACCCTGATGTGTTTTGTCTTCCTCACTTTAGAGAGAGTCTCTGGAAAGAATATAATGTCAGGTTGGCGCTTCTGAGCCAACACACAAAGATTCAAAACTGCACTCAGGTTGCTAAGTCCCGACAATTTCAGCTCAAGATTATCATAACTCTCGACAGTCTTGGCTGCCAGGACTTACCAATAAAAACGATGTGTTGCTTCGTTCATATTTGTTTCCCCCATCTTGATCTTCTCTCTTCTTCTCTGTTTGTACCCCTTTCATAACTCCTCCTTCTATGTAAGTTAAATATTTCGTAAGTATTATTTTCAATAAGTAATTTGTCATAAGTCAACTTAAATGCATAACAAACCCTTTTAAACAAACAAAATTTTCATAAAATATAAAATAGAAAACATGTTTGATGAAAATGATACTTAACCACTTAGAGTGATGATTTTAAACACATTACAAGTAACAACATCACACTTTAACATTATAAAGTCACATTGTAATGATAGATCAAATAAAAAAAAAGTTTTTGACGATATTGACACTCAAACTATGTGATCTATAACAACAACAAAATGCATGAAAATGACGAAACCAAAGGATTATTTAAAAAAGAACATCTTCATCTTTGTGATACAAAATTGTAAGGATGAGGTGATAATACAAACTTATCACAGTAAGATCACAATAAGATGGAGAGAAAGGGAAAGTAGTCTACCAATTTAATAAGCATATAATGTTTGACAATCTACGTGGTCTATCATAAATAATAGTAGATGTTTAACAAATAAGATAATTCAATAAAAGGAAAGTGATTATTTCAACTATATACATTATGTTATAGTTGATTTAGGATCATTCTTTTTACTTATGAGTGTTAATTTGAGCAAATATTAAAATAATTGTGTTGTCTCATCCTTATTGAATGTGTATATAATCATATTCTGTAACGTAACTTTTTAAAGCTTAGTTGGCCTCTCTATTTTTAAAAAATATATTCGTATTTCAATTCTCACGCACTTCGGTGTACTCAACTTACAGTTATGCGCATGTTAGAATTTATTAAAAGCATTTAACAAAAATAAAAAATAAAAAACGTAAAGCATTAATTTTATGTTGGTTCAATATATTCAAATTCATTTTCACCAAAAAGAAAAAGAAAAAACCATCACTACTACTATTCAATTTCATTATTGGTACTGCATTATTTTTCAATTTTCATTTTTAATTTAATGAACTCGAACCTCACCTCTGTCGTCTTCCTCACTCTGAAAAAAGCAACAACAACCACCACCGTTACCGCCGCAATCACCTCCTCAAACACACCGCCGTTTTAACAAGCTATCAAGATCCACCGCGAAAATCGATTCATTCCCACTGTTTCAAGAATCACGTTCAATCTTCATCCGCTCGCTCAATTTCGGTACCTTCGTTTCCTCCAATTCAAATTCCGTCGCGATTTCGACTGAAATTCGCTAATTGTTTCACCTGTTGCTTTAGTTTCCAGTCAATCGGTTGTTAACAGAGTGAATTTCTGCTGTTGTTTTGTTCGCTAGTGCAAGGGTTTCTGCTTACATCTCCGTGCTTGAGTTTTTGTTTAGCTTGTAGAGGCGTAAATCAGACGATTTGATATAGTAGTTATAGCGATTTCGCTGATTTGTGTTAGAATTAGGGTTTTCGGAAGGGTTTTATAAGGTTTATATGGGGAAGGTGGAATTACATGGTTTGGTTGTTTTGAATTTGATCCAAGTGAAATTAGTTAGGTTATTGGTTTGATGATAGTAGATTGAGGATGGTGAGGCTTTTAGGGTTTGCTCGAGGTTATGCAGATGAACCTCGGGAGATTGAGTCAAAGTCAAACCTGACTGGTGACTCTAGTGAAAATGGATGGCTTATTAGATTCTTTGATTCTTCGTTTTTCTGTGAATGGATTGCGGTTAGTTACTTGTATAAGCATGATCATGCTGGAGTGAGGGATTATCTTTGTAATAGGATGTATACTCTTCCCTTGCAAGGGCTTGAGAGTTATTTGTTTCAAATATGTTACATGATGATACATAAGCCTAGTCCGTCGTTGGATAAGTTTGTGATAGATATGTGCTCCAAGTCGCTTAAGATTGCTTTGAAGGTGCATTGGTTCTTAATGGCAGAGCTGGAGGACAATGATGATAATGACGGGATTAGTAATATTCAGGAGAAGTGTCAGACTGCTGCCACCTTGATGGGTGAGTGGCCGCCTCTGATACGGCCTCAGACTGAACCTCCGAGTCCTGGAGGTAAAAGCCAAGTTTTGAATAGGTTACTTTCGTCTAAAAATCGGTTGTTGTCATTGACAACTTCACCGCCTAAGTCTTTGTCATTTTCATCTTCACCGGCTAATAATTTGCAAGAGGATGGTAATCCGCTGTCTCCTGAGGAGAACAGGATATTTAAGAAGTTTATGCCAAGTCCAAAGTTTAGAGATGCTTTGCTTTTTAGAAAGTCAGCCGACAAAGATGACGGTGATTCTGAAAAAGATGGGTTTTTCAAAAGGCTTTTAAGAGACAGCAAAGGTGATGATGAGCTTGGCCAAAAAATCCGTGATGCATTTCATTTTCGGAAGTCGTCCGAGAAAGATGCCATAGACCCTGAAAAGGACAGTTTCTTTAAAAGGTTCTTAAGAGACAGTAGGGACAGTACTAGAGGTGATGATGAAGAATCTGAAAAGGATGGTTTCTTTCAAAGGATCTTAAGGGACAGTAGAAGCGAAGACGAAGATGTGACTTCAAGTTCAGAAGGATTTTTTAAGAAGTTGTTTCGGGATAATAAAAACGATTCAGAGGACAGAACAGATACAAAATCAGTGGAAGATGAAGAGAAAGATGGACTTTTCCGTAAGTTTTTCCGGGAGAAATTTGAAGATAGGAAGGATGGGCGTGATAGAAATGACAGTAAAAATGTTGCTATTTCTGAAGAGAAATGTCCAAAACCTGATGAAGAGGATGAAAAAGATGGGTTTTTCCGGAAATTCTTCAAGGATAAATTTGAGGACAAGAAAGACACAAAAGATAAAATTGAAGAAGGAACTGCCAATGGTGAGGAAGGCGAGCCTTCTGAGCTTTCCTTATTCAAAAGGTTATTCCGTGTGCACCCTGAAGATGACAAAAGCAGTCCAGCCAATGAAAATAGCAACAATGGTGGCTTATTACAAAGTAGTCCAGGTACAGAGAGTTTTTTCCGCAAATTGTTCAAAGACCGTGATCGTTCAATTGAAGATTCAGAGCTACTGGGGTCAAAGAGACAGAAAGAGGTATGCTGAATAAGTGCTAATGATTTGTTTTACTGTTATGGTGGAATTTGGATTGTAAACTGCAAAGTATGAATGGGACCAATATATGCAGAAACTTTGTTATTTTCTTTCTTAATCGTAAAAGTTGCTTAATGTCTCTATATACTTTTTTCTGATAGCAAGTATGTTTTACAGTATCCATTGACATTGCTTTTGATCTTATAACAGCCGCCGGATTAGCCTCATGCACCTATTCTTCCCTCCCTCCACCTAAAAAATCCAAATTGTTTCTTCATTTTTTTAAGTTTACTCGTAATAAATAATTTGGGTCCCTGTAATTTTATTTTAAATTTTTTTTGCCAAGATTGATAAGACTTTTTTATATTTTTCCCTTTATTGTTTGTATCGAGTCTTACGTCGACTAGATATATGGCCTAGGTAATGCTTGTAGGCTTGGGCAATCCTCACCTTTCATATTCATTTTGTGGTTTTGAATTTTATCTAAAGCCTAAGATAGTATGAAGTATATCTTACTATCCTGGACCTGTTACTGGGTCAAGGTTTATGTTAGTCCACCTGCATTTGTCCATGCTTCAGATGTGAGATCCTGTGTCGTGCATGAGGGTGTGTATTGAGAACCCATGCTCATGATGTCCATTCTTTGGCGTGGTGGGGCGTGTTGAGAGTCCCACATCAACTAGAGGCATGGTCTACATAGTGCTTGTAGGACTCTGACAATCCTCACCTTACAAGCCAATCATGTAGATGTAGGGTTAAGTTAGGCCTGAAACCTAAGAGTTTTGAGTCATAGTCTTTCTTTAAATTCCACATTAAACATTAGAATGCTTTTGAGTTCCTAGACATGCAATGAAGATGGTATTGTATTATAACTTAATTTGGTCCTATTGCAACAGGGTGTAATCAACAGAGCCAAAGAGCTTGTCCCTTTCTGTTCTTAGCTAACATTAAAACCAACTTTTTTCCCATGGCTAAATACTTAACATATCAATCATCCTTGGCTGTCATTCTTATCAAATAAAAACTCTTGGATTGCCATTTTAGTCTTATTGAATTGACAAATATATTCTCTAGCGTTAGGGATGTCTTTTACATATCCATATTTGATTCAATTGTTGTACTTTTTATGAAATGATAATGTTTTTCGTTACAGATTTAATAAATCCGTTCCTGAACTTCCACCTAAATAACACATTTTTAGGAGAGTTGACCTTAGCATGGTATTAGAGCCTTAATGATCAAGTATTTAGGAGTTCAATCCTTGTTGCCCTGTTATTCTAAATAAAGTTGAGTTGCAGCTCATTGTTAAGGTCTTAACAACTAAGGACTTTTGTGTTAGGGTCGGTGTGGTAGATGTGGTGAAGCTATTCCTGTGCTTTCACCTAAATAATTTAAGCTAAGCTTTTATTAAAGATGTCTTTAAGAGTTAATTCACAAATGTGGTACATTTCTTAAGAAATAAATTTCAATAAATGATGGTATTATGGTAAATGTATGTTTTATTGCATGCATTGTTACATGGCATTAGGAATAGTTTATATTGTGATGTCTCTGATTCTAGTTGTAGGTCATACTTCAGAGAAGAATTCTGCGAGTATTAATACATTTTAGAACTCTGTAGTTTATTTTCACTTTCTGCCTTATGTATTATAGTTTTTAATATTAAATTAAGTGCATTTACGATATATTGGGTTTTGCTGCCTCATCTGGGAGTGTATTTAATTACTTTCGCAGAAGCATCCTGGGTCCCCAATGCCACAAAGTGATAAATCGAGCATAAAGCCCCCATTACCGATTAATCCATCTCAGTTCCGGAGAGGGGCTTACCATGACTCGTTGGAGTTTGTGCAGTCACTATGCGACACATCATATGGGTTAGTGGATGTTTTTCCAATTGAAGATCGCAAGAATGCTCTTCATGAGGTTATTTTCTTGAATTTTTCTTTTTTGATGCTTTCTGTATTTATTTGACTTGAGTTATTAACAAAAATCTATTGTACTCCATATTTGTGTTTCTGACACCTTTGTTATTCTAATATTTCTAGTCGCTTAGAGAGATCAATATACATGTAGCAAAGGTTCAGAACACTGGAGGTATGTTAACTATCATGTTATGTGAATGATGTTCAATTTTGGCAATGAACTTCTCTACTTCTTTGTGCGTTTCAAATGAGCTGGTTAATTTCTTTGTGTGTTTTGAAAGTGTGATCTGGAGTTTTTCAGTAGCTGTAATACCACATTTATTGGTTTAGATTCAGAGTCTTTTTATGTATACTTTCCATTCCTTTTATGTATAACGCAACAAATGACTGTATTTTCTTCTTCTTTTGGAGGTATGTCAAAATAATTACCATTTTACAAGCAGCAGATGTTTATGCAGAAAAAAATGATGTAGTTTTTCACTTCTCTGGTTATATTGTAGAGAAGTTTTTTAGCGTAATTGCTACTGTTGGCAGTTCTTAGTTCTTTACTGTAAATATTTATTCTTTTTTATGTCTGCAAAACAAGTTGCCACTTTTCCATTTATTATGATAAGTAGATATATTGCTTCTATATGAATCCTTCTAATCATATATTTCTAGGAGTCTGTTTTCCACTGGGAAAAGGCATGTATCGCGTGCTTCATATGCCAGTAGATGAAGCTATTCTCTTGAATTCTAGGGAGAAGGCACCTTACATGATCAGCATTGAAGTTTTGAAATGTGAAATGCCAAGGTATTATTTGGATAGTACTCCTTGGAATTGTGAAGAAGAGTAGTTTGTAAAATGAGAACACTTGTTTGATATATTCCTCTCTGCATATTTTTTGTTATAGTAATTTCAAGGAGACATCCAGTTCTCAAAAGCTTTCTCAAGGTGGAATTCCTTTGGCAAATGGAGATGCTTTCTTGCAAAAACCACCCCCTTGGGCTTATCCATTATGGACAGCACAAGAGGCGTACCGTAATAGCAATGATAGGATGTCCAGATCGACTGCTCAAGCAATTGACCAGGCAATGACTCATGTATCTGAGCCAAAATTTGTTAGCCTGATTCTTTCGGTGGAAACGCAGTATAATGGTCAGGCAGGGAAGACTTATAGAGAGGGTGCACATGGAGCTGCAGGAGCAGAACATGACAGTGATCTGGAATGGGTACGAGTAGTTTTGACAGCTGATCCTGGGGTTAGATTGGAAGATATTGAGGATCAAGCGCCGCCTCGGAAAAAGGAACATCGCCGTGTTCCAAGTACAGTTGCAATAGAAGAAGTAAAGGTGAGTCTTTTCGGTGCTTTTTTACTGCTATTGATGTGCTATTCACATTACTTTAATGTAAGCTTCAACTGATAATTTTTTGAATCTTAATTTACTGCCAGACTTGGTACAAAAGGCCAGCCCTGTGTCCTCAACGAGTTATTTATCATATATCTATCTATCTATTTCAAATTCCTACCTATGTTGTGCTTTGTGGTATTATACATAGCCGGTATCAAGCCCAAATAAAAGGAGAGGGTTGTGTTAGGCCTTGGCCAACATAAAACTTAGTTAAATCTTAATGGCATGGTTGAACAATGTAATATCATATCTATATCTCCTGAGCATTACACAACCTAAGATGAACGAAGTAAATGTCTTGGATTTTCACCAATCATCGGATCAATAAGAATTGGTTTTTTAATAAATGATTATCTAGGTGGATCAGCACTTTAGAGTTAATAGATTTGTTTGTTTTTTCTTCTCTTACAGTATAAATCAAGTCACCAGCTTAACAATTCTCAATTCTCACTTGTTTTTATAGTCTTATTCTATATTTTCTTTTAAGTATGCCAGCAGACTAACCGCGTGGTTGTTTAAGATTTTCACTCCGAAATGGAGTTTTGAGAAAACCAACATCTTACTGCTTTGGAAAAAGCACCTAGGAAAATGTGTTTTTCTTGTTGGAGGTAGTTATATTCTAAAACGGGTACCAACAAAGTTTAGTTTTCTACTATTCTAGATTCCACTAAAGATAGGAAAATGTATCAAACCCATTCTGCATTGACAATGTTTTTCCTTGTTTTCACTTTTCACCAAATTTGATGTGTTTTTTAATGAAAAGTAGGACTTAAAAAATATCTATTGTATAGGATATCAGATCACCTTTTTTTGGTGCTCTTTCCTCTTCATTTCCACTCTATAGAATAGACCCAGGCATTAGCTCTGGCTCCCACTGTTCTTCTATGATGTAGTTGAAATTGTATTTTTTTTCTACTAGGACTTGAGCTATTAAACTATCAACTTCCAATTATTTATACTCTGAAATATTGAAACTCTGTAGCATCATTTCATTATATCATGTCTATAGGCAAACATATAACTCATATGATAAATTGTAAGTGTCAAGCTTTTGTGAATTGTGAAGACCTGTCTGGTAGTGGTGGTTTATCAACTCGTTGCCGCAGAATAAAGTACACTGTTTCGATGCATGCGCGTTAATGTCTTCCTGTTGGCACAATCAATGCTTTATGAGCGTACCTTTATCTGTGCCGCGGGTACAGATTATTTTCCCATCCATATGCCTGATGTTCCAAGCAAGATTTCTAATATTATATTCTTTCTTTATAAGCATGCTAGCAATTTAGAATATAATTGGCTTTATGATGATCTTATTACTGGTTAATGAAAGATTTACAAAGAAATATTGGGTCATGTATCATGTAATGGAATAATAAAGAACTTAAAATGTTAAGTTATACAATAAGTTGAATATAGGATGGTGATATTAGCCGTTATCGGGGGTTATTAAGAATAACTCTTCATAGAAAAAAGCCTTCAACACAGTTAAAAAAATGACGGTATTACTCGGGCAATATTATTTTGCGAATTTATTTCTGACGTCTTTGTTTGGCATTTGCCAACTAACATTGACACTTACTGTTGTTCATTATGGTTACAATTACAATAAGAATACAACAAATCACTGCTAAATGAATGAACTTATTATACTAAATAACTTCATTTTTTGTATTGTAATTGTGTATAAATTTTTGTTTCTTGATTTTATTAACATTTAAACTTTATTGCCAACATTTGAACCTTTGGTAGGCTGCAGCAGCAAAAGGGGAAGCGCCTCTTGGACTCCCTTTGAAAGGTGCTGGCCAAGACTCATCAGATGCACAACCGAGGGTAAGACTTATTACAGTTAAGTTTTACTTAACCTTAAGCTTGTAGAGTTCTCGTATGACATGATTCCCTCCTAACAGGCCAATGGAATTACCCCCAAAGCTAGTGATGCCTTGTCTGGTGAACTTTGGGAGGCAAAGAAAGATAGAGTACGCAAGGCTTCCATATATGGGAATTTACCTAGTTGGGACTTGCGATCGGTAAGCCTATATTTAAGCACAAGAATTGACTTTATATGTAGTTAGTTGGTTACCTGTTTTGGAAATTCATTAAAAAGTAGTATTATTTTTGCATAACAGAATAAAAGAAATGTATCCAAGCATATCTTGGTCTATGAGATTATAGTATTAATAAATTTTTTTTTTGCCATTTGTTACATTATAAATTTGACTCAGTCAAGGTTAACTTTATAAACGTGCTTTTATTGGGTTTAAGAATCCTGTACTATTAAAATTCACTCTTACTGGAGGATCAGTGCTTCTGATCATAGAATGAAGAGTATCACAGTCAAAGGATTTTCAAAATGGTTTTCTTACAATATCAATGAAAAACTTCAATATCAACAAAACAACAAACTGAATTTTGTTCTCACTTTCTCTATGTAAATTGTACCACAAGTTTTAGGATTAAATTATTAATAAATGTTGTCTGTACTCAGCTATTAATGAATTAGTACTTTGACTCTAGTGATATTTTATGTAAGTATATCCGAACTGCACGTGTCAATGAAGAATTCACATTTGGATTTAAGCAGTATTTAGCAAGCAATTCTTGTGTCAAAAGCTACAACTATCATGTCCTTTTGTATGATTATTAATATGAAACTAAAGCGTGGCTGGCTTTTGTTCTATATTATCTATTTGTTGTTCCTGTTTCATGATACGTGCTTTAATATGAGAACTATTTTGAGCATGTTGGTGCAATTTTCTATTTCTTACGTAGGTTATTGTGAAGAGTGGAGATGATTGCAGGCAAGAGCATCTGGCTGTTCAACTCATTTCTCACTTCTATGGTATAAAATTTTGTTCTTTCTTCCTTTGAAGGAATTAACCATTTTACTTCCCATTGATGTTCCTTTTATTGTAAAAATGTTTCTCCCAATTTAAAATTCCATGGTTGGTTTCCTTGGCATTTGATTTCATCCCTCTCAAAAAAACCTAATATCCTGAGGTGAACTTCCTATCGGCAATGGATCATGCATAGTTTGCATCTATATATACATCCATGGGCAATTTTCCTTTCTTCTTGAATAACAGTCATCTTCCTGGCCTTGTCTTCAATACTAATGTGGGCTAGGCAAATGATTTTTCCACAAGCCTATGGTACTGGATCTACTCTACTTTTGAGCTCTTTTTATTTTCAGTCCTGTGAATTTGTTCTATGGGCACTCCACAATGATAAGGGAAAGGTTGAATCATTTTTATTATGTCAACACTCTGTATAAGAATACATGTGTAATGTCTCAGACTCTCAGTTTAAGTTTCATTGTGGATTTATAAATCTACTTGAATGCAGTTTTCAATGCAATCATGGCAAATTAAAGTCGAAAATTTTTCCAAAGCGTGAATGCAATACAATGGTCTAGTAAACAAGTTTTACTGAATGCACCTAGGAGTGTTGATGCTAATTGATTCGGTTTGGATATCTTTTTGTTATGTTCTGATGCACATATAAGCCATGGTGCAGAAGTTTCTGTGCTTCTAAACACGTTGCTTAGAATCATAGAGTTTTGAATTTCTTTTTATGCTAGATATTTTCCAAGAAGCTGGTCTACCGCTTTGGCTGCGCCCTTATGAAGTTTTGTGTACTTCTTCTTATACAGCTCTCATTGAAACAATTCCAGATACGGTAATTCTGTGCTCACACATTTCAAATATATTGAAATGTCAAATTTGCCCATGTTAATAAAAATAATGCTTTCTAGGCTTCTCTACACTCAATCAAAAGTAGATATCCCAACATCTCTAGTTTACGTGAATTCTTCGACGCTAAATATCAAGAAAACTCTCCAAGTTTTAAACTTGCCCAGGTAATTGAGAAATGCAGATAGAGTTGATCTATTTGTAGACTGAACTTTTTCATCTTATACTTTGTGATGACTTATGGATGGGGCATTCGTTCGAGTATGTATTATGTTTTGCTTTTTATGCCATCCCCCCTTTCCCATTTGGATATTCTGTATTTCTGTTTTAGTTTCATAATTTGGATACTTTCTTTGTCTCAGAGGAACTTTGTTGAGAGTATGGCTGGATATTCCCTTGTGTGCTACTTTCTACAGGTGAGGAACTTCATTAACCGGTGCTTTACTCAAGTGACCTTTTGAATGTTAACAATGTGCTTCACATTCTTCCCACCACTCTTTTTCCTTTCTTGTCTTCAAGGTGAAGGATAGGCATAATGGGAACCTCCTATTGGACGAAGAGGGTCATATCATTCATATTGATTTTGGCTTCATGCTTTCCAATTCACCTGGTGGGGTTAATTTTGAAAGTGCACCTTTTAAATTAACACGCGAGCTTCTTGAGGTAAAACAGATTTTTTATTTTTACTTTCTTTTATACACCCTCTTTCGAGTGTCCATATAATCACAATGATGTGATTATGCTAGGTCATGGATTCTGATGCCGAGGGTCTGCCAAGCGAGTTCTTTGATTATTTTAAGGTGCTGATAAAAACTTTCTGATCATTCCTTAAGATATTGCAGATGACATATGCTATTCTCAGCTCTAAATATGTCCCGTTGTTTTGTCCATGTTATCCAGGTTTTATGCATTCAAGGCTTCCTCACTTGCCGCAAACATGCCGAACGTATTATTCTTCTTGTTGAGATGTTGCAGGTAATATGATTGTTAGCTTTCTGTAGTTCCATACATCATCTTTTTCTGTGTTCTTTGTCTACTCTTGTCATGATCCGTACTTCTAGTTTTGTAGAATAGTACGACAGTCGACTGATAGCTAAGGTTATTCTTTTTTCAAGCAACTTTGCGAACTGTCTGCTGACTGAAAATATCCTATTATTTTTACACGGGCCATGTTGTGCTTCTGCACTGTGCTGTATCATACTTTCAGACTATTGGATGTTCACACCTTGTGCAAAGAGCAGCTAGGGGATATAATATTTGTTGAGAAGTGCAAAAAAGTGCTTATGGGTGTATCCATTTCTTAAACAATGGAGCTCACTTATACACAGGAACACACACTGAATCACATTGAATACAAAGATTAATGTTACCCTATTTACCAATTTTATAGGATATTGTATTCTAGGTAGCCATTCCCGGCCGACCCCAAAAATGGGATAGCGGGACAGCATATTGCGAGATGAACGCTATTTGATATATTTTTGTGACAAATTACATTAATAATACTATAAACATATATTTCATGTAAAATTAAAAAAATAAAACTCAAACCATAAAATTCATAAAACAGTAAAAAAAGAAATAAAATGAGAAAAAACAGAGGGAAGAAAAAGAAGGAACAGAAATGATTAAACAACAGATGAAAAAAAAGAAGGAAAATAAGTGACAAGAAACGAATCTGAAGCTTGAAGGAGGATTGGAAAAGATGAAAAATGAAGAACTGCAGAGGGAAGATGATGAAGCTTGAACGAGAGAGCTTGTGTCTTGGTGAAGAACTGCAAATCAGCGCCCGCAGCAGAGAGAAGACGAAAAACTGCTATGGTTATGAGGTTTGTAGACAGACAATTACACTCAAAATTAAAAGAAAACCCCTAAGTTACCCTTAAAACATTTTAATTCTAAGGGATAATTTTGGCTTTTCATGCCAAAAATATAAAGTGGTCCAAAAACCCACTTCAGACTGTGACTCGGGTCCTATGACCTGCAAAACCCCCCTTGGAATGCCATCCACACGTTTCTCCTCCGCGGACAGGCTCTGTGCCTCTTCGTTCCGCCGCGACAGTTCGCTGCTCCAGGCCGCAATTGACTACCTAGATTTTATTACCATTACAAGCCAATTTACATTATTTCAAGCTCTCCCGCTCAAGCTGCCAAAAAACCCCATGGTTCACTTATTTTATCTTTTCAAAGAATTGATTGTTGCCTGTACATATATTCTTGGATTTTTGCTGAAGCTTTTCTTTCTATGGCTATGTCTGTATCAGGATTCGGGGTTCCCATGCTTTAAAGGTGGTGTACGGACAATACAGAACTTACGAAAGCGATTCCATCTCAGTTTAACAGAAGAGGTTCCAATATTACTGCTGTGTGTCTTCTTAACTGTAAAATGTTTTGGATGTGATTGTGATGGTACTGTATTATTTTTTTGGCAGCAATGTGTCTCCTTGGTGCTTTCTCTTATTAGCAGTAGCCTTGATGCTTGGAGAACACGGCAGTATGATTATTATCAGAGGGTTTTGAATGGAATATTGTGAGATAATTTGTCACTGGCTATAACTTGGTTGTTCCATTTTGACCAAAGCTTGCACGGTGGATGCTCATCAATTAGCATTACATTTAGAGGTCACTAGTAGGAGAGGTTGGTTCACTATGGAATGGCTTTAAGTTTTGAGGGAGGAAATGATTAATAGGTCATGGTATGCTGCCTCGTTTTCTCCCGGTTCAAAGAAGATACTAACTTGCCAAAAAACTTCAACGTAGACCATGTTAAATTTAATGAAGCCTGGTCTTTTTTATTTCCTCCTTCTTCCCTGTTAATGGAGCTCTGCTGCTTCGAGAAGTTGCATTAGCCTCCTAAATGCTGATAATGCAGTGTACAGTGATTTTTAGTGTGACAGATCACATTTAAATTGAATGTCGAGATGGGCTTTGGGTAAACTGACTGTTTCATTTACAGTCTTGTGGTGTGCTGTAAGTGTTGAACAGATACTGACCTTGTACAATTTGAACGACCATATGAGGCGAATCATGGGCAGACCATAGTGTTGGCCAACCGCGCTCTGTAATTTATCCGTGATCTCAGCTGTTCAAGGGAGGCTATCTTCCCAGAGTCGATTCTTCAATACTTTACCATCTTTCCAGAGTTGATTCTTCAATACTTTACCATGGAGAATTGTGACCAAATTTCTTCATTGATGTTTGATTGTAACCTGTGTAATTGATCCTGTTTATTTTCATGGTGAAATTTGTTTCACCTTCATATTGTCTTGTAAAATAGTTAAGGTTTGATGGCATTGTTTCTGTATCACAGTTTTAGTATAGCTGTTGAATTGAGAATGCCGAGCATTGAACCAGATCAAACCTCTGCCATTGATGGAAAAGAAATGTTTGAAGTTTAAAAATTCAAGTTTGAATGAACTAAACCCCCTTTCAATTTAAAAAGGCTTGAAAAACAAACTTGGGGTCAATATATTGGTTTATAACTGGAGGCTTAAGATCCTAATTCATAATTGGACCCAGATGAAAAAGCGTAATAATAATTTTTTTATAAAAAAGATTGAAAGTCAAATTCAGGTAAAATGTTAATTCTAATGCAATGTCTATTTTGCCTTTTTTTATGTATCTAGATTGTTTTTAATACCATTCAAATTTAAAACTACCCATTCAACATCACTTCAATAGAGTATTCCATCTCTTCTTAATCGAGTGTTAATATAATCATTTAAGGCATATTAAAGAAAATGAAAGAAATATCATAGTATTTTTATAAAATAAATTTATTTAATATTTTTAATTAATCTTAAAATGCACGTATTAAGAACATGCAACTTTAGTCTGTGGATGTGTTTTCCGTTTGGAACATGCAACTTTAGTCTGTGGATGTGTTTTCCGTTTGAATTTAGATTACAAGTTTATCAAACTATCATTTGTAAAATATGAATGTATTTTTCAATTGGTTAACATTTAAATAGTTATAAATATAGATTAATAACATGCAACAATTTTTAAATATTGATTCGTATTTATAATAAATCGTATAATTAATTCTCTAACTTCAACTATATAAACAACTCAAAAGAAAGATTTAAAAAATGAACATTAAAATGAACTGTTTACATTTGAATCATTCCAATAAAGCTGAATTAACTAGTCAAGATGATCAATTCAACAATCAGAACACATTTTTATAAGAGATAGAGCTTAAGAAGAACACATTTCTTTAAGAGATTAAGCTTAAGAAAAATATAAGCGCTTAAATTTCGTGAGTCTGTAGAGATTAATGTGTTTGATAGAAAATAAAATTTAATTAAATGCATATCTAAGTTTAAAATAAACACTGCCATTTAATCTAAATAAGTTATTTATGTTATCTCGTCTGATTTCACATCAAACGTCTAACAAATTTGTAAAGTTTAAATTTATTCTTTAAATGGTAAATATTCACGTAGTTACAAATATAAACTAATAAAATACACCAACTTTTAATAATTGATTTGTACTTATAATAAACCGTATATCTGATTCTCTAACTTCAATTATATAAACAAAAATAAAATAATAATCAGAGGAAGATATTAAAATGAACAATCTACCACTGATATCTCATGGATACATTCACATCTATCCGCTTTGACATACACATTATCCATAATAGATATTTTGCATTTAAAATAATATTTGTAACTTATTCCCGTTTATAAAAATAATTGTATCAACAATAAATTTTTCTTGTTTATAAAAATATTTTTAACTTATTCTCGTTTATAAAAATAATTGTATCAACAATATACTTTTCTCGTTTATAAAAATACTTGTAACTTATTCCCATTATAGATATAATTGTATGAACAATAGATTTTTATCGTTTATAAAAATAATTATATCAACAATAATTTTTTAAATTTTTCCCGTTCATAAAAATATTTGTCATATCATCTTAAATTTATTTATTCAATAGTGATAAATATGTGTCTCGTATAATATATCACATATTAGTGATAAATATTGAATTTTTATTTTAATGTCTAGTTAATTTGGTGTCAAGTAAAATAAATATTCTAATTAATTAAAATACATATTATATAGAGAAAAAGATCATCCATAAAATTTTATTTTTCATTAATTTATAAAATTTTATGAATAAAAAAGATAATTTATTTTATATTATATTATAAAGATAAAAACCAAATTTATTTTTCATTATAATAAAATATTATAATATTCATAAGTAAATTTATTTTTAACAACTTCACTATGCTATACAAAGATAATATTCCATATTAAAAATTAAAGATTTTTAGCGAAGAAGAATTATTATTCAATTTGAGACGTTAATCAAAAAAATCTCTTTTATAAGTTTCTTTCACGAGTAGAAAGAAAAGAGAAAGTGGACACTAAAATGGACGGTTACAATACTAGAGCTGATTCGTTAAAATTGTATCTAAATATTTGTACTGATAAATTACTCTTATGATATTCTATATTGTAAAAAAATGAATCTAAATACTAAGTAATGTAAAGTAAACTACTCTCTACCCAAAACTAGTGTTAAATTGAATTAAATTCCTTTGAATATATAAATTTCAACTATAGCAGTGCTATAATTATAGTATTGTGGCGTAATTTAAACAAATTGTTATTTTCTATGATGACAACAAAATATATACACCAAATTATGCACTGCATTGAGCAAGGAAATAAACCAAGACACTTGTCATCGTAAGGCATAAAAATAGATATAGATGAGATATTCAGGCAAAAAACATCCCACTTCAAGAAAATAACAAAATAGTAGAAACCAACACAGTTGGAGAAAAATGAATCTCTACTTTCACAGGTTGGAACAATGATTATGTTTGAACAAGTAACAACATACATTTACATGGCTGAGCAGCTATTGAGTTACAAAAAAAATCCCTGCCGATCAAAGTTCTTTACAATTCATTTTATTTTCTAAATAAAATTTCAATTTCTTTTCTTTAAGTGTGCAAAATTGCTGCAATGTACTCCTTCAACACCCGGTTTCGATATGTTGGAACAGAGAAAAACTTTAGGAGTGTCTCAAGCTGAGAGACAGAAATTAAAAGATTTCGGTTAGTGAATTCTTCAACAAAAAATTCATTTTGAGTAGAAAAATGTACCACCACGTGGGGAGAAAAGCAGCACCTGAAAAACAAAGGGTGAAAATTATTAACATACATAACAATACATACGATTCACATGTGTTTTCACCATCAACAGAGGAATTGAATCAAAAGAGCAAAAGAAGAAGAAGAATGTACCTGAGAACTTTTTTCATTTTCTCTGGATTTTGTTGTTGTTGTTTTAATTCTAGCATCAGATAAACCATACATTTGTAATATCTTAAAGCTAATGGATCGGGGAGGGATCAAAGGGGGTTTAGGTTAATTTTGCTTGCTTTTAAGGTGTTGTTGTTGATTTATTTCGAATCATGGGGGGAAGAGAAGATTGTTGAGTTGTATTTGTTCACAAAGAAGAGAAACCAAGTGAAGAAGTGATGGATAGAACTCGTTTGAATGTATAGAAGAGAGATTTTTGTTGGACTCTGTTTTAGTGTATTTTTCTATTGGAACATGGACAAATTTTATGGCAGAGAAAGATATACAATACTGGGAAACTACAGTTTGAATGGAAAGTTGTGTATCTAGGTGGCTTTTCATTGTTCGAAAACAATGTACCTGATAACATGTATTAATAATATTAATAATATGGAATAAAAATAAAATAAAATCTAACGTAATTATGTGATAAAATGATTAAAATTATAAATAAAAAAGTATCAAAATGTTATGTGATGACACAGCTGAATTAATTTTCAAATATATGTGGTGATAGTAGTGTTATAAAAAAAACCATATTTGTCCATGGAATAAGAAAAAAATTAAATTTAGATTTAGGAGTATTCATGATTTTTCTAGATTTAGAATAGAAGATTCATTATGCTATGATCATAATTGCTCGAAGGGGTAACTATTATAAAGAATATCTAATTCAGCGCTCTTCGAAACATTTTCCTTACTTAATTGATACTTAAAAATATACTAAGTCTTAGATAGCTCGTAACTTTGTTGAAACCAACTCATTTGTCGAAAATTCCGTTTCGAGATTTTGGACATGTTTCGAGGAAAGAGTGGTCTTAATCTTATGGATATGTTCTTGTGATTCTTATCATGCCTATCATGTGGTCAAAGCTTCTCAGTTGGCGTGACTATTTTTTTAAGCTTGTTAATGAATGCTTTCAACACTTAGCGTTCCTCAACGCATCATTCTTAATACATGCCTCTGATTAATATCGAGCAATATGCTCGATGATGGATTCACTGTATTGCTTGCAATCTTAGTGGACTTAGGAATTTTCCAATCCATGGGAGTTCAGTCTACAACTCATACTTCGACAAGCAGAAACAAAATTTTGCCTATGAAGACCAACATTAAGACTATTTTGGGCTATGATTTTCTCAACCATATTGGCTACGTTATTTTTCCCTCTAAGATTGTTTTGTTGGACCTTCCT